TTTTGCAGTATCTATTGAGCTGTCATTCCTATTCAATGTATCTTTTATTGCAAATGTTTTAGTGGCCATATATAGAAATTCATTTTAGGTGTCTTTTTTGTCTTCAATTTCTGCACTTAACTTACTAAATCCTCCTGAAGTAATGGCATACAGCTACCATAAGAACATTTATATCCTGTCTAGCAAGTTATTGTATGTGCAAATTCAGGACCTTGATGGATTGATCAACCTTTCTGTTGATATTTTCTTGCTTATTAGAAGGAATTTTAATACAATTCTGGACACTGTGAATTTTTGTTGATTGGATGCATGGTATATTTGTATTCCTCTATGTATTTTTTTTTCTTCTTGCATTCAGAAAAGTGACTTGAAAGGCTGGATTCTTTCTCAACTTGCTCTTAAACTTTCCTAGGTAGAACAGGAGCAAATTCCAGTCCACAGCTAGTTCATCCCCAGTGCAGGGTCAATCTCTTCTGACTAGTTAATCTGATATTCTAAAATTAGGTACTTTTTATTCTGGTTGTAAGAACAACTATGCTTATTGTTTTATGTGTGTGTGATTGTTGCATATGTTTGTGAGCCCTACAAATGCTTTCTCAAATGACTTTGGGTGACTTCTTTCTAAGGCTCAAGTATTTTCTTGGCACACGTGTGCTCATCAGTGCTCAAAAATATTTTCAAAGTCCAGAGTCTTGTCTCTGTGCAGCCCTCCCTCCTTCCATACTCTTACTTGTAGACTGTTGGGTTATTTTGGTGTGGGGAGGTGGAAGAGGGTGGGGAGAGGTCCCTGAAATCAAAGTTTGAGAGAGAAAGTTGCCTGCAGTTCAGTAATGGGGTACTCTCTCTGGGAGGAAGTATGGAAGGCACAACTGGGCAACCTGTAATGTGGGCCCAAGTGATGATTGACTGGAAAGTCCTTCAAGATCATCCTTCCTGAGACAGAACCTTGGTTTTGATCTCAGAGAGTTATTAGACCTGAGCTCAACTCTGAGAGGAGGGAACCTTGGTAGAGGCTGTCCTCTGCAGCCAAAGCAATGCTCAGTGAGGGCAGAGCTGTAAGCTCCCAGGATTCCCAGTCACAGTGGATTGACGGTTTTGCCCTGAAGAGTAGATTTCCAGAGTTTACTAAATTGGTCTCTGGTCAGAACATCAGGACGCTGTGGTTTAGTTAGTGCTACAACAGGGTAGTTCAGAGGTACATTTCAGAATATTTGGGCATAAGTAGAAGAACTAGCCTTGGACGGTTACCACATATATGGAAATACAGATACTATAACCACTTGATAGATATCTCTTTTTGATTGTAAATTCAAGTTTTTTTTTTTTCTAAGTCACACTCTAGCCCGGTCAACATCAGGACAGCCATGACATGACAGCCTCAAAACCACTTCTGTCGCACCTTCTGCAGAGTTTGCCTGGGGACTGATGAGAAGGGAAGACCAAGGCTCTCAGATCCACGTGAACTGGGCCAGCCTTGCTCATGGCTTTGTCCACAGTCCTTGTGACACTGAAGGGAGACACTGAAAGGTGACACTGAAGGGTGAGGGGTTTGTGTCTCATCTCCCTATCTGTCTGTTTCACTGTTAGATTAGTACCACTACTGTCCCATGACTGACAGTAATATTCTTATCCCCAGCCTGTGCCCCACTAATGGTCAGGGTGGACATGTTCCCTGATTTGGAGCAACAAAATTGCTCAAGGATCCCTGAGGGCTGGCTACTGTTAAACTAGATGACAAGCACAGGGTCCTTTCCTGGCTTCTGCTGATACCAGCTTGCATTATAGCTTCTTATCCATCACCTTGGCAGGTGATCCTGGCTGTTGTCCCTAGACTACAGATACTGAAGACATCTGAATCAATTCAGAAGAGTCCATGGAGCCTGCAATAGAAGACAGGAAAAGTGAGTCTCAGGATGAGGGTTTCATCCCAAAGCCCCACACCCTGCATCACTCCCTGTGCTGAGGTGAAGGTCAGAAAAAAGCTGATTCTAGGAGGTAGCACCTGTGCACTGAGTGCAGTGAGTAGGGAAGCTGTTCTGGCCATGGTGGAGATACCCCAGAGCTCTCCTTCTGAATCTTCAGATAGGGAAGTGGCATCCATGCCCCTTTTATCTTTGAAAGAGAAATCTCTTCATGCAAATCTTCTTCCCCCTTTCTGTGGCTTGTTGGGTAGTTTCTTGGTAATGGTGGATGAAAACTGGTCTAGATTCCTCAAAGTGACTGTCTGAGCCCTGAGCCTGAGAGCCTAGCCTGGTAATTTTTCAGGTTTATCAACAGGGCCAAGTGGGTGTCATGAATGGAGAGTATATTTGACTCCCCAAAAAGGAGTCTCAGCGGAAACATTAGTCACACCCTTTGTACTTGAGCACCACTACTTGGAGTTACTGTGGTCCCCAGATAAAGGCCTGCAGTGCCCACTGGTACCCTCAAGAGGAATGCCATCCTCCATGGAACTCTAGTTCATGCAGAATGACTACATAGGAGCCTGTGGTTTATGCCAGATGCACTGGTAAGTGTTTTACAAATGGAACCTCAAGAATAAATGTATAACATGGAATATGAGGACTAGGAACCCTATACCCAAGACACAATCTCTGTTAAATAATGTACATTGGCAGGTTGAATCCTTTTCCCAAAATCCCCAGAGAATAGTGAGTAGAGTCAAGATTCCCTCCAAGAAGCTCAACTCAGAACTGACCTTCCAGCCCTTCCTGCCCTGCCTTTTGCCTCCTGCTCCATCTCCTTCCTCCCTCATCCCTGGCTTACTGCTTCCTTCTCACCATCATTTGCTAAGGCAAACATAACAGGACATTGAAGACCTGGTAGCCTAAACCACAGAAACATTTTTCCCCACAGTTCTAAAGCTACAGACCCAAGATACAGGAGTTGGCATCTTTGGTTTCTCCTGAGGCATCTCTCCTTGGCCTGTAAATAGCTGCCTTCTTACTGTCCTCACGTGGTCCTTCCTCTACATACTCATTTCTGATATCTCATCTCTGCAAATCCAAATGTCCTCTTCTTAGGAACACGCCAGTCAGATTGAATAAAGATCCACATTAATGGATTCATTTTTACCCAGTAACCTCTGGATGACTCCAGACCTTGGTTCAAGCTTCCTTGTCCATTGCCCCTCCCTCCTCTCTGATTTTCTATCTAGGGGAACTTATTCCTGATATGAAACATTCCCAGAATTCAGCAAAAAAAAAATAGAGATAAAAGGTATGAATTTGTAACACAGTACTATGTTGGGCAAATCCCAAAATCTAATAAAATTAATGATAAAAGTATGTTCTTGTTCACAGAAAGACCTCAAGCCATCACAGGAGTTAAAAAATACTGTTTCTCACAAAAATATTTCCACTTATGACATATGTCAGTAGAATTTTCAAACTACACATAATCCTGAAAAACAAGGATCTTAAAACTGCATCCAGTGGGCCAAACCCTAAAAGTTATCTGGTTTTCTTTTTTAGTGGTCCAAAACTGAGTGTTGTCTTTATACTTTCAAAAAGGTACATTGTTAATGATATTGTAAATAACTATATTATATCCTCAAAGTTGACTCTTGGCCCACAAAACCTAACATACTTATTATGTGAACATTTAAGAAAAAATGTACCAATTCCTAATAAATACAGAGCCCTGAAATATTTGAGAAAATGCTAGAAATCCAAGACAAAACTGTCACAAGATGACATTTTAATCTAACAAGTTGGCAGAACTTCAAACTGCCTGCAATATACTCTGCTCAAACATTTGTAGATAACACTGTCAATTGGTATAATGCTCTACAGGGGATTCTGAAAATAATTGGTGAAAATAACAAACACATCACTTTGACACAGCAGTTCATCTTCTAAAAATTTTTCTCTTGGTCATATACACCCAGGAACCCAACGAGTCTGACTGAGGATGTTCATTGTAGTTGTATTTATAAGATCCAAATCCTGATGAGAACCAATAGGGAATATTTGGTTAAAACCCATGTTGAACCCTCTGCAAACTTATTATGAGTGGGACAGTGCTCTATGCCTAGAATGGAACAACAACTAGAAATAATACATGTGATTATCTTAACATGAGGACTAAGATGGAGGTCTTCCTATTTCCTCTCTCTCAAGTATAGTATCAAAGAGGGAGAACTTGACGTGGGAACTTGGGCTCCTGTGATTTATTGAGGAGTGCTCTCAAAAGAAACCAGGATGGAGAGAGGAGTAGGGAAGGGAAGGTACAGAGGTAAAGTTGGGTTCCGGCCTAGCCTGGGGGAACTCCAGAGCAGAATTGCACCACAAGGTGTGTCCTACTCGGAGATCAGTGAACAAGGTTTGAGTCTGCTGGCCCACTCATCTAATCAGGTGGTGATGGGGGGTATCACTTCCAGACACTCCTTTACAGCTGCTTTCACTCTGCGAGCCCAGTTTCTACCTCCAGAGAAGGCTGGGAGATCGGTGCACCCACTGACGGTGTCTCCAAAAGCATCTGCCACAGACTCCATTTCCTACTGATGTGTATACCTAGTGTTCAAATACAAATCTATCACACTGGTTATTTTTTTTTAAGAATGTCTTTTTTGAGCCAGGCTCGGTGGCTCAGCCTGTAATCCCGCGCCTTTGGGAATCTGAGGTGAGTGGATTGCCTGAGCCTGCGGGTCTGAGACCCGCCTGGGCAGTGAGACCTCATCTCTACAATGAATCAAAAAATTAGCCGGACATGGTAGGGCGCGCCTGTAGTTCCAGCTACTTGGAAGGCTGAAGCGGAAGGATCGCCAGAGCCCAGCAGGTCGAGGCTGCGGTGGCCGGGAGTGGTCACCGCACTCCAGTCTGGGCGACAGAGTAAGACTCCAACTCAAAAACAAACAAACAAACAAATTCTTGGACTCAAATAATACTCCTGGATTAGCCTCCCAAGTGCTGGGGTTATAGGCCACAGTCCTTCTGTGGCTGGAGGAGGATGACACCAACAGAGATAGAGTTTGTGTCTCACTTCCCCATTTGTCTGTATCACTGTGAATAACTAGTATTAATGTCCAATATCTGACAGTAATAGTCAGCCTCGTCCTCGGCCTGGGCCATGCTAATGGTCAGGGTGGCCGTGTTCCCTGATTTGGAGCCAGAGAATCGCTCAGGGATCCCTGAAGGCCGGTCACTGCTATCATAGATGATCAGCACAGGGGCCTGGCCTGGCTTCTGCTGGTACCAGTTTGCATTAAGTATTTCTAGGATATCATCCTGGCAGGTAATCTTCGCTGTCTGTCCCAAGGTCACAGACACCGCAGACACTTGAGTCAGCACAGAGGAGGTCACAGAACCTGCAAGAGAGGACAGGAGAGATGAGCCTGTGAAGGAAGAGCTCATTCCTGATGCCTCACACCCTGCAGCATCCTCCTTGTGGATTGGAGGTGAGGGTCAGTCTAACCCCTAGTTCTGCAGCCCTGGGAGACAGCACCTGTGCAGAGAGTGAGGAGGGTGAGCAGGGAAGGGGTCCAGGCCATGGTGGAGACACCTCAGAATTCTAACTCTGAACCCACAGCTGAGGTGTGTCTCCAGACCACTCTTATAGGATGGAGCGTCTCTTCATGCAAATCTTGATTTTTTTTCCTCTTATAGTCTTGTTGGGTGGTACCCTGGGGAACAGGCAACAATGCCAATCTGTTCTTCACTCTTCAGTTTGTCTGTCTGAGCTCATGTCTGAGCCCTGAGCCTGAGAGTCTCATGTTGGCAATTTCCCAAGTTCAGAAGAAGGGCTGGATGTGTGTCATGAATGGAGGGTAGATTTGACCTGATAGAGGATCATCAAAAGAAGCATCAGTCACACCCTCTGCACTTGAGCACTATCAGGGAACTTGGAGTTATTAGGTTTCTAAACCAAAACCCACAGTGTCCCCTGCTGCCAACAGAAGGAATGACATCCCCTATGTATCAATAGCTCATGCCAAATGACTTCTTCTGAGTCCCTAATACATGCTGGATGTTGACTCTTTGCCCACAAAGCTTAAAATACTTCTTATTTGAACATTTCAGAAAAGTTTACCAAATCCTAAAAAATACACTGAAATAATTGAGAAAATTCTCAACCTCAAGCAAAATAGGTGAAATTCAAAATGAAACAGTCACAAGGTACACTTTAACCAAACAACTTGGCAAAAATCTAAATTTTCAACACTATACTCTGATCAAATACTTATAGCTAACACTGTGAATTGGTACAACCCCTCTCAATGGGAAGCTGAAAATACATGAAGAAAATTACAAAGACATATCCTTTGACCCAGCAATTCTGTTTTTAAAAATTCATTCAATGGTTATATTTCTGCATGAGGATGTTCATTGCAGTGCTATTTGTAAGAACAAAATCCTGGTGAGAGCCATAGAGGCTAGTTGGCTAAAACCCACATGGAACCATCTACAGTCTTTTCATGAGCAGCACAGTGCTCTATGTCTAGGGTAGAAGGTCACACAAGAGATAGTGCATGTGATGGTTTTGATATGAGCACCAGGACAGAGGCCTTCCTCTATCCTCTTTCTGAAGTGTAGTCTCAGGAAGGCAGAGCGTGAGATGGAAACTTGACCCATGTGATTTACTGAGGAGTGCTCTCAGAAGAAACCAGGATAGGGAGAAGAATAGGATAGGAAAGGTACAGAGCTAAAGTCGGGCTCTACCCTGGTCCTGCAGGAACTCTGGAGCAGAATTGCACCACAAGGTATGTCCTATTCAGAGACCAGTGAAAAGGGTTTATGTGCCCTGCTTCAGTCATTCACTGACTGTGGGTGGTGATGGTGAGTGTTACCTCCAGGCTCCCTTTCACAAGAAGACTGCAGTCTGTGAACCTAGAGTCTACCCCTAGAGAAGGCCTTCTGGCTGGGAGATGGGTACCCACTGAACAGTGTCTCCAACAGCATCTGCCACGGGCTGCATTTAGATATTTTCTACCAACATGTATGTGCTATCCAGTGTTCAAGTTCATCATGTTGTTTCTGAAGGAGAATTTCTTAACTTTCCAAGACAAAAGTCTTATGACCAAGAGAATAACAATCAGACCACGTCCACAACTTTGCCCTGCTGCACTGAAACACAAGTGAAACAGTGAGACATCCTCCACAGGGTTCTGGGGGACAGAATTATTTCCAAGAACTTTATACTCAGGCCAGGCTTAAGGGAAGCAGACAGAATTGAATTTTTGGTGGGCTTCAGCACTTTCCTGGGGATAGGGAAGTCTGCCCTCTGCCCCAGGGCCACTGCATAAGCTATTGGAGTTCCTGGTCCAGGTCCCTTAGGAAGCTGTTTCTGTGAAGTGGGTGTGTGATGCCACAAGATACAGAAGTGCTTAGCTTGTCCCCAGCAATGGTGGGGGTGACTGGGCTTTGAAAGATAGAGCCTGAAGCAGCTGGGGATGACATGGGGCATTTGTCTATTTGCCATGTAAGCCACAGAGAAGCTTGTCCAGGTTTCTTCAGGAACCATCCTGGGGTGTTTCCAGTCATGACAGGCCCTGCACTCATACAGCAGCTGAGAGTGACTGGAGCCCAGGAGTCACTGTGAGGGAGGGCTCCAGTCACCACAGGCTGCAGCTGGCAGCTGAAGGGTATGAAAGGGAAAGGCCGGTCTGTAAACACAACAGGAAGGGAAACTCCTCAGAGAACCCCTTGTTCACTCCCCTCCCCAAGGTACAGAGATTCTGTCCTGACCTGTGCAAAGGACCATGAAAAGGACAGTGGTCCAGGATATGGAGTGTAGTCCCCACAGATGCTCTTTCTCAGGATCCTGCATCAGGTGCGGGGCTCCTCTGACTTTCCCTCTTCTCCTGTGCCAACTTTGTGGAGGGTGGGCTTAATTCAAATCCCTCACCCAGGTTCCTGCCTCACCCAGCTGCTTCCATAAGACAAGGTTGAGTCCCATCTGGTTGAATGTCTCTCAGTTGAGGGGGGAAGGGAAGAAAGAGGGGCATTCTCAGGGCTTTGCTTTTGTTTCCTTCTTCCTGCCTTCCTCTCTCCCTGAGCATGAGGAAAACGTAAAGTTGCTGCTTGGGGAGCACTTAGGGAAAAAGCAAATAGTGCTATTGAAAAGATTCTCAGATGAGTCGAGGTTCTCACAGACAGAGACAGTTGAGGTCCTCACTGCCGAGACAGATCCCACAGCCATGCCTGTTGCTTCCTCATTCAAGAGTCTTATTTCCTAGAGACAGCTTCTTAGATTCAACTTGGGTCTCTGGTTGACTTCCTCTAAATTGAACCTCAGTCCTTTGTCAGAAGACTTCAAGTAATTGAAATGTTCCATTTCTAATCCAAATTTCCTCTCCAGTGCTTTCTGGGCTTGGAAGTCATACAATCCGGGGTACGTACCCTGTGCATCAGATATCGTCTGTCCCTTGGTGGATTCTGACCAAGTGAGGATGCACATGGGCATCTGGAGACGCCCTTCTCTGGTGCACTCTGAAACCTTATCATGTGTAGGGTGTAGGTATCATTGCTTGGTGTCTATTCACTTTTTCCACCCTCATGGAAACAACTGAGGCTGGAAGTGGTATGTGTGACCCCATTCTTCAGGACAGGGCTGGATATTTTAGACATGTGAGTGCTGTTTTTTATTTGATTAGATGGTGGCTTCTGAGTTTTAAGATGATTCAGTCAGCTGCAGGGAATTGAGACCCAGGAGACTGAAACACCAACAAGTCTCTGGAGATCTTTGTCTCCCAGACATCTGACTGCTAAGTGGGGCCTGAGCACTCCTTGAAGAGTGACAGTGACTTTCAAATAGATTCTCAAAATCCAGTCCTGTTTCAATTGAAATCTAAACCAGATTTTATTTCATTTTATTTTATTTTTTTGTTGAGTTGGAGTCTCACTCGGTCACCCAAACTGGAGTGCAGTGGCCACTTCCGGCCACCACAGCCTCGCCTGCTGGGCTCCGGCGATCCTTCCGCCTCAGCCTTCTGAGTAGCCGGAATTACAGGCATTTGCTACCACGCCCGGCTGATTTTTTGATTTATTGTAGAGATGAGGTCTCGCTGCCCAGGCGGGTTTCGAACTCGCGGGCTCAGGCAATCCACTCACCTCAGCCTCCCAAAGGCGCGGGATTACAGGCTGAGCCACCGAGCCCAGCTTCTAAACCAGATTTTAAAGTTGTGCCAGGAAATGTGATTTGATGAAGGAAATGAGGAAAACTTGGTTGCTATTTGGTGAAAGCAATTTTCTCTGAAAGATAAGATGAGTGGTGGAAGGAGTGTTCTTAAGTTGATAATATGGGAGAAATACTACAAAATTCATAGTCTCTCAATCATTGCAGTAAGGACTAATCATTATAAGAGACCCAGAAATAGATGGAGCTGTTTCCTGTGGTCTGGGCCATTGATAGAGGTGGCTCAGTTCAACCAAAATGCTCAGGGCCTTGCTAGTCATGGTGAGGAGTTTCTATTTTATACTTAGTGTGATGGATTGTCAGTAAGGGGTTTAAGCAAGTGACCGAGTGCCATGGTCTGGTTCATGATTTCAGAGATAACTCCAGGGACCATGGGTTCTGGGTCAGGACTGAGGTATCTGCAAGGGTCTAATCTGGGAACGATGGATTCCTGAGGTATAGTGGAGGCAGGGAGCATGGATGGGGCCACTGGAGGAAGAATTCACAGGACATGGTGGATGGGCAGGGAGATGGATTGGAGAAAACAACAGAGAAGGACTCCACATTTAGGACAGGGAGAGGAGAGTCCAGAGATGAGGAGAACAAGAGAAAGATGACTCTGGGAACAGTTCAAGGATTTGGTTTAAGTGTGAACACTTGTGTGACACTCAAGGAAGACACTAAGTTGGAAGGACATTAAGGAACTTGGGGAAGGTTGAACTGTGGATATGGATTTGGGAGTTGATGACATGCTAAAGACAGTGAATTCCTGGGAAAAGTTGGGATCATCAGACCTGGGGAAGAGAAAGGGCTCAGAACCAACAGTCCTCAGACTCTAACACTAGGATTCTGGGAGAAGAAAAGGAGTCAGGAGAGGAGGGGGAGGAGAGCGGGAGGGTGGGAGAGGAAGGCTGAGGAGGTTCCAGTGTTCCTTCCCAGAGGAGCTTTGCATCCACCCCAGACCACATCCCCTGCTGTCCCCAGCACCAGACTTAGCCTTCTTGGCACACATTTTATGCATTTGCTCATCTATTGTTAATATGCCACACCTGATCACTTCTCTTACAAAGATCAGGTTCCTTGAGAGCAGGGGCCTTGCCTGTTTTTATTACCGATGTGCCTCCTAGAACCCAGTATATGCCTTGCACAGTAAAAATTTTTGGATGAACAAATTAATACCAGAGGAATGGATGCTGAGGTCTTGGTCAAGAGTAAGACTGATTAGGATGCACAGCTGAGGTGGAGTCACTCCAGGGCTTACAGGGAACAGACACCTACCCCAACATGCTGGACATATCCCGGAACCTTCCCACTTCCATGCCGAGCAAAGTCTTCTTTATTCCCTGTGGGTTCTAGAAAATAGAGTGGAGTTGGCCA